TGATAGCGTAGGCTTGACGCTTGTTCTTTGCCATGTCGCGGTGGACCTGCGGCATGAGAGTTTCCGGCAGATGGCATAATCATAAAGCTTAACGGGTGCTGGGATAAGGGTCCAGGGTTTCGGAGTCAAGCTGTGGGGTCTAGGCTTTCGGGATTAAGGCTTCAGGTCTGGGACTCAGGCGTAGAGAGCCAGGTTGCAAGACCGGCGTTTGGGAATAGTAGGGTTGGCTGCGGGAGCAGGGATTAAGGTGCAGGGCTAAGGGTTTAGCAGGAGTACCGGAGCCAAACCGCCCCCCCCTCCCCCCCCCAAAAAAAATGCAAAGGCAATTCACATGTTCCCTGGAGATAGTACCAATGTTCACTCACCAGCTTCCCTTCCGAACTAGCTGGAAGGAGTGTTTCAAAGGGCGCAGGGTTAGGTTTTAGAGCTAAGTTCTCTATCCATCCTCGCCAAGCTTTCAGTTGCTCATGTCATCTTCTTTCTTGATGGAGCGTATGTTGCACGTTCCTGGGTATCTGAATCTCTGAAGACAGCAGTGTCTGTAGGCGAGGCCCTCTATCCAAATGCAAACTCCGAGCGAAACATGCAGACACAAGGGCCAGAAATTAGGGTTTAGGGATCTTGAAGCTTAGATTTTCTCAGGGCTTAGGGATGTTTGGGGCTTTTTCATGCATGTTTTGAAAACCCTGTTAACCCTAAGCATACACCGTATACCCCTAAACCCTAAAATGCTGCCTTTTGGAGCAGCTTCAGATTCTGCACTGGAACGATGATCAGTACTCCTAATGCGGCTCTCTTTATTTCATTGTAGATCCCTATGGTCACTATAAACCCTGGGTTTCCATGTAATTTTCCATTTTATTCTCCACAACCACTGGTAAAAGCCTTAAAAGCCCCTAACGCTACACTCTAAACCCTAAACAGTATACCCTAAACCACATACCCTAAACCCTATAGTAGTTTCCATTCCACGGGCGCCCCTACTTTTCAGAAGCCCCCAAATTCGGCTCACGAGGACAGCGGCTTGCCTCGCGCACCAGATCAGGACGCAAAGGAGACTTCCTTAGTTGCTCGGGGTCTTAGGATTTTAAGATTTTGGGGGGTTTCAGAGGTTCGGGTGTTAATAGAGTTTTGGTTTGTAGGCTTTAGGGCTCAGGGCGCAGAAAATTTGAGAGCTTGAGATGTGGGAGTCAAGGGCTCTTAGGCCTGAAATTTGAGTAAACTTGCAGGCATTCAGGACTTGAGGGGTTTTGTCCTTTTTGGGCAAGATCTTGAAGAAGATGCCATTGCGGCTGCTGCCCTCCTCCTATTCCGTCGTGCGCCATTGTGTTCAAGTGCACTTGTGCTTTTACCCTTATAGCTTCTGGTGCTTCTTGTGTCCTCGTGTATATTTTGCCCGTTTGTGTTCTGGTCTTGCGCTCCAGGACACCCCACATGACTTGTGATTGAGAACAGCCAGCCCTTCAACGAGGCAAGCAGATACATCGCATCCTTTCCGAGGGCTACCTCGAACGAATCTGCTAGCTCTTCTTGCAGGGCGGCCTCTAGAACCTTCTTTATAAACAGGAGTGCACCTCCACTGACATGGGCCTCAATGAGTAGCTGTGCAGCTGTCGAACTCCCTCTCAAATCTTGGACTCCAGATCCCAGAATAGCACAATAGCAAGCTCTGCACCATCAAAGATACCCACTAAAGCCTGAAACGCTGCTACATAAGAAACAATATGAGACACTTCCATGTCAAGGTCTGCATGCCAAAACCATCTTTGAGAATGCCTTGAGAAATACCGTCCAAACTTATGCCACACCGCTTCCACATGACATCATGTCATATCAGCCATAGTCTGAACTCTTAGTATCCCTCTTAATAAACTCTATAATCCCCTATTCCATCGCCTATATAGTCCCCTATACCCTGGGATAACCCCCTAAACCCTAAACCATAAACACTTAACCCTAGAAACCCTAAACCATGGACACTTAACCCTAGACCCTAGATCCCGTAAACCCCCCTTAAGTGCTTTAGACTATACCTCGTATGTCTGCAGGTCTCTCTTGCACTTGCAGTAAGCCAGGCAAGCACTGCTACAGCTTCAGCATTCAGACGGCGAACCCAAAGTTTGAAGAAATTACGGTTTGGGGTTTCCCAAAGTTAGGGTTCTATAGGGATATATAGGGTTTACACCGGGTATAGGGTTGGGGGTTTCCAAATTTAGGGGTTCCTTTCTTGGGGTCCCCATAATAAGGATCAGAATATTGTTGGGTCTACATTTGGGTCCTCCTATGAATTACAAGTTCTCCACCAGCAAGCGGCAGCACGTGGGGCATCACGACGGTTCCCGCCTTGAGGAAACGATTGTGATAATTTATGGAGGGGCTGCTGTAGCTGTCAGAAAAGGTATGGCTACTGGCTGCTGACAGTGCCACCTGGCAATGAAAAAACTGTCCCGGAGCTCGGAATGTTTTGCAGGCAGGGTTTCGCGCACCTCCACTCTTAGAAGCTTCATAAACCCAATCTTGAACCAAACCGTCAAGCCGACACTCTAGAACACATCTTGCACCCTGCCACTGGGGCCTGCAAGAGGATTTGTATGATGAATCAAACCCCAGCGATAGTCAACGTCAAGGCCCAACGCTCAAGATTCTACCGCCAAGTCCCAATTTGTTTGATAGACATACAACCTGAGCTTCTCTCCAGTCCCACAATCTGGTGTGCAAACCTAGAATGACAGCAGGCACGTGCCAGCCTTCTCGGAAGGGTTCTCGAACTTGAAGATAGACACAACAGGCCTCCACTGAACCAAGCTGGGCTTGATGGTTGCATGATATGCAGCTGCAGGTTATGCATGTATGTAAATACATCTGCACTCAGACCCGGAGGGAGAGAGCGGGAGAAAAGGGAGGGAGCGAGAGAGATAGAGAGAGCATAAGAAGCAGAGGCAGAGGGAGAGGGAGAAACAGAGGGAACACGGAATCTCTGAGATCAACTGACAAACTGTACCAGAAAATGAGGGCTAAAGGCTGCAAGGCTTGTGAGCCTCGCACTTCCCAGAACAAACCGGCAATGTCCCACCGCACACTGCATCTGCCCAGAACACCACAGAGCACATGATTCTTGGACTTGCAGGAAAACAATGATAATAGTAATTATGGTGATCCAATAATAAGAATAATAATAGTGGTAATATTAATCATAGCAATAATAGTCGTCATAGTAATAATGATGATAATTGCGATCATAGTGATGAAAGTCATTCATTTCGCAAAGAGAACAAGGAGGCCACTTTGGAGAATGCACGGCTCCCAGCCAGCAGGCCTTGCGGTTGCCATGGCCTTTGTCAGTTGCGCAACTGAGTTTAGGCCTTCTAGATATAGGTTTAGGATTTAGGGTTTTGGGTGATACATGCGCAGTATAGGGTCTTGCCTCAGTGAGTTCATGCCTTCCATCTATCTTAGCCCACATTACCCTAGGAATATAATAAGGGTTATAGTACTTGGGTGTCTATATTGGGGTCTATATTGGGGCCCCCTGCTTTGGGAAACTACCATGTTGCCTGAAATTGAAAAGCTGATCCTGCAGCTCCTGCTGTCCAGATAGTCCCTGAACATTGCTTGCACAGGAATTTAGATGATAATTCATGTGGCGCCACTGCGATGACGGCACTCTTGTCCATCTTGTGCTGTGGATTTTGCAAGCTGTTCCTGTTCACGGCCTGTCACTTCGTAAGATGGGAAGATCAGCAAAATTTCACTGGAGTCAAACAAGACAATCAAAAGACAGGAGGGTCCTTGAGGCCCCTCGAAGCCTCCCCAAAATTGCTCTCTCTGGGCCTAGTCTTTGTGATCCAGTGTGATGCCGTTCAAAGAAGGATCAGGAATGTGTTTCGCTTTGCTCTTTCAGTTTGAGAAAATACTCGCCAAAGCCCATGTTTTTCCAATGCTTGCTGCAAAGCTGCTGCACGACCTGAACAAATAAAGCTAACTTCATAAACCATGCCTCCATCGCGCTCGTCAAAACCTTCCATGTAAAGGCTTCTTGCCTACGCAGCATGCTGCCCAGACCCAACGGGGCATATGCCATGGTGAATCCCAGAAGTTTGGGGGGGACCCATTTCTCAAAAAACTGTAGGCTGCAAGCACCTGCAACCATCCAACATCTGACACAGCACTGCTCCCAAACCCTAAACCCTAAATTCTAAACCCTAAATCCTAAGCCCTAAATCCTAAACCTTAAACCCTTAAGTCTGCAAGCATCAATCAAGCTCAGGGCTGCGCGAGTTTCGACCAAATACCCGATGAGAGGGTGCTTGCAGAGTACTCGAAATGCCGGGACTTACCCTCCGAGGGGGTCAGAGCCAAAGCAGCGGTCGCAGAAGCAACAATTCAGAATAATGCCAGCCACGGGGTTTAGGGTCTAGGGTTTAGGGCTTAGAGCAACAATGCAGAATAATGCCAGCAGGAACCGCAGTCGCCACGTTTGAAATTCTGACTGGTACAGGCACGTGGCAAGGTCCCCATCAAGCAACTGCGAAAACAAGCGCTGCCAGAACTCTAGACCTTGTTCATCCCCTGCAAGTCTCCTTGAATGAAAACGCGAATTTCTGAAGGACCCTGCGATATACATTCCAACAAACCGCCGAACATTTCCGAACATCATTCCTTCAGGCTCTTTGTACACTCAAAGCATAATCCGCAGACCCAAAATCCTGTTCTGGGGAGCCACCCGGTAGGCCCCATCTTCGAGTCATTTAATACTTTAAATCCCTAGCCGCCTGGGTTGCATGCGTCGTTAAACTAGCCAACGGCTGGCTCTAACTGCACCATAAAGAATATTACTAGAATTAATCACATTACCATTTACTAATAATCATTTTAGTGTTTAGGGTTTAGGGCTTCACTGTTATCATGATGCGAGAGCACATCTTGAACACTTGGCAGCGTCTTCTTTCCTCGGCAAATCGTCGACCCGTCTGACTTCATCCTCACAGCGCTGAAACCTTTCACTCCTCATCCTCACCGTCCTGCGAGGAATCATAACTTACTGGTGGTAGGGAATGAGGGAATAGATGTTAGATAAAGGTTCTATAGGGATTATATAGGGATTATATTCTCTTATGAGTGGGAACCGAACCCAGTAGCCGAGAAGCTTCAGCTTGTGTTTCTAGGAGTTGTACATCTACTCGTAGCAGATTGTTCACCAAGAAATGCTCTGGCTAAAAAGCCCTGTCCTATGACCAAGCCCTATGAAGTCACGTCACTAGCTCATGTCAGCTTTGTTGCTCTGTATGCAGCTGATACATTCCCGCCGCAACCGTGTAGAACGGTTTGTGTGGCTCTGCAGCGCAGAGCGTCTTCTCTTTCGTTTCAGCTTTAAAGGAATGCGCCGCTACTTGATACACCGTTTCTTAAGAGGAGGTGCCAATAATTTCCAGCACCTTGCAGAATCTATCCAGCTAGAGTCTCAGCTGGAGAAACTTTAACCTTAGCGGCCAGATGCTCGAGATGGCAGAGCTGAAAGGACCAGTACGCAAGGAAGAAGGGTCTCATGTGCTTCGTAATCTTCACACATTTATATTGAGACAAAGTGCCTGCATGAAAGCAGCCCAGCGACTTTCGGATTTCACACCGGGCAGTTCAAGCTCGCAATCTGGAATACGTACGAGTACTCCCATGTGAGCTATAGTCTAAACTCCTAGTATCCCCCTTAATAACCCCTATAGCAATCTCCTATATCATCCCTATATAACCCCCCTTTAAGGAGTTTAGACCCTAAACCCTAAACCAGTAGTTTCCATTTTCTTTTCCATTATCCCCTATATAACCCCCCCTTTAAGGAGTTTAGACTATAGCTCATGTAACGCCCCTCAGGTCTGGCCTCGCCCTCGGCCTCCCTCTTCTCGGCGGCCTAAGGTGCAGAGAGCAATATGGGGTCTCTTTGTCGTTGCAAAGACCCAACAAAGAGACGCATGAAACAGATTTTCATGTAGCTCAGATGTCTACCACAGCTTGTTGCTGGGTTAGGCGGGGATGATAGTGTTCTGTACGGATTGAAATGTGTAAAATGCTTGGCAAGAATATTTATAAGCGATAAAGAGTTCTGTAATTTGAAAGCTAGAACTCTGAGTGGACTCTTGGGAAATGCAGTCCGTGAGCATTTGGTCTTCTGACTCCTGCACGGGTTTAGGCCTTGCTCCCTTGTTCCAACACTACTGTCTACGCTGCAGTGGTGGGAGCCAGCGTTTGGCTTGACGCCAAGGGCACGCAAAACTCCAGGATTAAGTGTTGATAGCAGACAAGCTCTCTCCTTTGCTATTCCTGGTACCCCTGTGCAGTTGATTAGAATGCCTGCTACTATATAGGTCCAACATGGGATGTGGCTGTGTCTCAATGGGTGCACAACAGCGAAGTGGATGAGATGCGAAGCTGCAAGCCTATCTAGCAAAGGCGATACGCACATATGACGGCGGAATGATGCCGCAAGCACTTTGTATGCAAACGTGTTCAGCAAAGCACCCAGCATGAGACTCAAACGCTGCGCTGGTCGTACGTGATGGAAAAATGGTTTCTGATCCAGTTCATGAGAGGCAGTGGATCAGTCTGCAGAAAGACCATGCTGTTGCCTCCACCCTTGACCGGCAATCGCCTGAGGAGCAGCAAAACCCTCAAATCAGAAGCTAAGAACCATGTACGAGTTGCTGCGGTGGCATTTGCTAGAGGTTCCTTCAGATTACTTGTTTTTCTATGCTAGCCCATCATTGGCATCATCGTCATCATCGGCGTCATAATCACCATAAGCAGCATAATCGCGGCAGGATGTAAAATGAGGTAGCTTGCGCCGCCTTCTTCTCGGCATCAGCAGCCGCGCGTGCTTCGAATGCCTTCATGAGGGTCTTGTAGAAGGTGTCGTCACCTCATGTGGCAGCAGGGCTAGAGTTCTCGAGAGGTACAGGGCGGGCTGACAAAAAATCAGGCCGGCATCAACATTTCCGAATGTTGGGTCTGAAAGTGAGGCTTTGAAAAAACACGTCGACAAAGATATGCTGTCCCTGATTTCCAATGCTGCTGCAGTCACTGCTGCAGTATGTACATGCAGCATGACGCATCACATCAACTGATCGTGAAGCCTCTTGCATGCACTAAAACTTGTTGGAACAATGGCAGGGAGTGCTTGCTCATGCTTTGTAGACCACCTGTAGCAAGATCTCTCGTCTCGTGCCGGGCTTTGGAAGCCTCACTAAAACAACATTTACAACCTTGTGCAGGTTCAGTATCATGCTGCTGCTGATGCTGCTGCTGTCCTCCTCCTCCTGTTGCCACAAGGACCCTAGTAGCTTTGCTACACCGGCAACTACAGCCGTGACCATTACTGCCACTGCCGTTGCTGCCAACCCCTGTAGCCAACGCAGCTGCCAATGCCGCTGCCACTGATAGCACCAGCAGCAGCCGGGAATAGAACCAACACATCAAAAAACCACATAACTTGACACCAACAACACTAACAACGGCACCAATAACAGCGCCAGAGTTCCAGGTTCGATCTTAACTGCCCTTTGGAACTGCCCAGCATCCCTGCAGCATCTGCAAAGCACCATTTACATGAAAGAGAATCACTGTAAACCTACGGAACCCAAATGGGACTCTACGAGGTCAACCTCGCTGCCCGACACCTAGTAGCCTGAAGCCTGATGTCCAACTCGGCTTGGGCTGGCGCCCTTCTTGTGCTCCTTGTTGTATTTCTTGGACTCCTCAATGCGGGCCTTCTTCTGCTTCTGCACCTGAGGCAAAACCCCGGATGTAGCAGGCTTTGGCGACAGTGAGCTCGCCGTTTACTGCACGGGAAGGGTACCCGCGCGTCTTGAGATACCGTTTGCCGGCCTCATCGTACTCGGCGGTGCCCTTCTCGCAGCCTTGGATGCCAAACACTGTGGCTCCGGGTGAGGTTTGCCTATGACGCTATGCCTATGGCCAATACTCGCAACATCATTACAGCTTCTATAGATCTGAAAGCTCCAGCTTAGCGGTGGGTAGTAATAGGGAAAGTGTCTTCGATTAGGATGTTGCGGTTTCTTAAGGTGCAGTGCAGGCTATGTCAAGATCTCATAATGCACTAGGCGGAGCATACATGAGCAGGGGGCGGTTACGGTAGCATGTGGTTATGGTGAGGTCTCTTTACACACGTTGCAATCCGCGGAAGCTCAGGAAACACCAACATATGATGCTAAATCACTAATCCAGCCTCAAGGTGGGCCCTCTTGTATATCTTTGGAGCCAGTTTATGTAATTGTACACAGAAACCTCACCCCTAAACCCTAAACTCTAACCTTAACTGAGGATAAGCTTCAGGATCCCGAAAGGATACAGCCATCTAAGCGGAATGATGGGCTGTCCGTATAAGGCCTCAAGGATTACGTTAGGCTTGTGTTGACATCCTCGTAGTAGCGCCTGCGGGGTCTCAACCAGGCTTGCATCAAATTCTTGGAGCCTCAGCAGCAGACCTTTGATTCCATCGCCGTGAGTCCTACGTTAAGCCATACTTTGAACCTTTTTGTGCAAAGCCAAGCTATCAATCACTATACAAGCTGGTGGTCTGCAAGTACCCTGCCACTGACAGCAAAAACATACTTCGATCATAGTCCGGTAAGTTCGTATACAGCGCCCCCTAAGCCACATGTTGAATCTTGAAGTCAATACAGTCTTCCAGCCTCAGAACTAAAGAAAGATGATGACCTTGCAGTCCTGCATCGCACCCTGAACTTAGCAACACTCACCACGGCCCGAAACTCTCAGCGAAAAACCCTCAAAAACTTAAACAATGTATCACCATCTCAACTTGCACTGCCATCACCACAATCCCACACGACCCGCCATATAACCCCCTTTATACCTAACCCCGATATAAACCCCTTTATAAACCCCTATATAAATCCCATGTGTACAAACTAAACTCCTAGCATTCCCTTTAATAGCCTCTATAATACTCCCCTATATAATTCCCTGTATAACCCCCTTCAAGGAGTTAAGACCCTAGAACCTAAACCCCTATATATACCCTGGTTTAAGAAGTTTAGACTACGGCTCATATAAGCCCTGGACTAAATTTGTAGTATATCCCTTAAATAGGTCCCCCCCAAAACCCTATATAGTCCCCTATAGGTCCCCCCCAACCTAAATCTAGTCCCCAGCTCATATAAACCCCACAGAACCAGCTAAGCGGCTCTTTCCTGCCTTTGCCTTGCGCTCGGTGGAACCTTCCGGTGAGCGCAGGGGTTAGGGTTTAGGGTTTAAGATTTAATTCCCCAAAATAGGGGAACCCAATATAGAACCCAAGATCATGATCCTGAAGTACTATTGGGACTCCGAGAATTGGCCCGAGTTTTGGGAAACTGGGATTTCTCACAGGTTGTAGCGGGCTTCATACATGGGGCTTAAAAAGTTCAGGACCACCGAATGTTGCGCCTGAAGCCTAAAATCAGCCTGAGGTCTAAAGATTTACATGCCAAGAGCCAACAAATCTCAGCTATATTTCCATGCCACAACCTTTGAAAGTTAAGTCTGCACGTATGACCCCAAAAACAGCAAAATTCTGAAGACACCACAAGACTCAAACCCCACTTGAAGGGTGAGGGAGACTTAGTAAGTGGGTTAATAACCCCTGGCCATGATAACTCCTATTACCTGTTGTGGCAACTGTTATTGCAAGGTGGACTGACCTAATCCCCCTAAGCCCTGGGACCTAAACCCTGAATCCCACATAACCCCAATATACTCTAGTAGTTTCCAATTTCTTTTCCATAATCCGTATATAGCCTATGGCTGAAACCGAGCCCTGAACTCCCGAACCTCCCAACCTTCTACACACCCCCTTAACCCTAAACCCTAAACCCTTAAACCCCTAAACTCCAAACCTAAACCCTAAACCCCTAAACCCTAAACCCTAAAACCCTAAACCCCTACAATCTTCAGGAGGACCACCCCTAAACCCTAAACCGGACCTGGCCTGGGTTCAACTCCTCCATGACATCCTTGCTCTTCAAGGCGTTCCTGCCATCTCCATGGCTCATACGTCGGGGTTTCCCAAAATTCGGGGAACCTTTTTTTGGGGGGGTCCCTAAAATAAGGACTATAGTATATTGGGGTCTACATTAGGGTCTCCCTATTTTGGGAAACAACCACGTAGTGTAGGGCTCAACTCAATGGCTCGGAAAACAAGACTTGGGGTTTAGGGTCTGAGGTTTAGGTGAAGGACAGAACTCTATGCTTTAGGTGAACCCCCCACCCTGTACTATTACAGGGTGGGTGGGGAGTCCTCCTAACTTGTGATGTTTGATGGCTGAGGCTCGCAATAAAGCAAAAGCCCCAGCAGCTGTCTCAAAAAGTCTCAGAATTGTGGCTATGACTAAGGGGTAGTTCACAAAATTAGGGGTCCCATTTTGGTACCCCTAAAGATGAGGTGCCATAATATGATCTATAACCCAAATGAGACCTTAATTTTGGGAACTACTCTCATGGCTGCCGTCGTAAACGCACGGAACCTTACCCATAGCTGCCCTTGAAGGACCCTTCTCCTAACCCCCAAGCCTGTGCCAAAGCCTGCAGTGCATTCTAGAGCCCGCATGCATGTACATGTATGGAAAAACTTGACCCCACATCATTCCTTGTACTGCCCCAATTATATACAATCCGCAGAGTTCAGAAGAGCCCAACAATTCTAAGAAACCCTCTGCTCAAAAAATATAATGCCAAAAACTCGCAGGTTGCTATTTGCATGTTTACGGCTTTTTTTTCAAACAGCGGGGACGCCCTGCTAGAACGCAAGCTGGTAGGATGCAATCCGAAAACCACTCGTTAGCGCCCAGTGCCTCCAGAAACTCACAGGAAAAATCCGAGGTCCAAACAACCACAACTTTCAGCATTGATCGGAGCCAGAATACCCTACACCCTCACGCGAAATAGCTATAAACTCCAAAGCCAAAACGCCATGATTCAAACCCCATGTCTGCAAAATCCAACTGCCACATGGCAGCTTCAAAAGATGAAGGAGAAACCCGAAACCCATAAGGGGTTGACCAATGTTTCAGAAGTGCCTGAGGAAGAACGACCCCTAAAAGGGTATGCAATACTTTCTAAATTAAGTCATAGGCAGCGGTGATGTAAGATATGCTTATAGGGAATGCAAAGATCTTCAAGCACCCTTGCTGTTGCTTGTTCCATCTCTCTTCCTTCTCCATGGCATTTATGGGGCTGAGTGAACTGCCCCGAATTGCATGCTGCAGCCTGAATTTGGCATTCAAGGTAACCTTGCTGGTGCCCAGACCGCTACAACGCTAGACAAAGGGAGGGATCTGTGTTCTTGAGATCTCCCGAATTCTGGTGCTAAGAGGCCGAAACCGGAACCTGAACAATTTTTCGGCTAGGGGCCTCTTCTTGGAGAAGGTTGGCGGCTCGATCTTTGGTCGCAGGACGGACTGCACCTGTGCACTTCAGGCTTCAGGGCATGGAGATGTGGGCATGCCGCCAAAGAAAAAACATGTCCTTTCCGCACGCCCGGAATTATCTGGAAAGAAGATCCCCCGGAAGGGTTTCTTTCAAATACCAAGTTAAATAGTAATACGGGATACCATTTTGGGGGTTCCACTTTCTGGATGCTGGCAGGGGTCTGGGTTTCAGGGAGTTGTGGAAAGTCTCAGAGAATGTTAGGGGGCTTTGAAAACTGTATAGAAGCGCTGAATTCTGGGGTCTAAGGGTTTATGGCCTAAGACTTCAGGACGATGGTTTGAGGCAGAGTCAGGGGCTCTTAAGGTTTTAGCACCTAGCTTTCAGGGGTTGGGTTCAGGGATCTAACTTCTGGGAAGTTAGTATGTTAAGATTAGTGTGCTTGTTTTGCATCTCTTGAACAACAGCCTGGCTGCAAGATGGCAGTATACTGTAGAGGGCCACCATACGTTTGAACATATTCACATGGAGCGCGTTGTTGAGGTGCAGGATGCAATCAGCTTAGGATTCGGAAATTCGCTTCAAGGTTTTGTGGTTTAGGGAAGTCCTATGACCTCCAGACTGAGCAGTGGTTTACTTTATGGCACCTTCTGGTGTCAATCAAGTACATGTGCCCTGCTTACAGCAACCGAAAAGAGATGAAGCCTATCTCAGTCTCGGCACCGCTTCTTCTGACTTGGCTTTCCAATGTAAGCCGGTACAACCCTTGTGCATACGGCTTGAATCTGGGCGACGATGCCCGAAAACTCACGCCATGAGTTATGGAATGCTGCATGCTGCCTTCGGAGCATGCAATCAAGAAGTCTGACCTCACGTGGCCTCCCAATCCCATGGATTTCCTGCAGGGGACCAAGTCTCCCTCAGCCGGAGAGGACCTGGCAATTGTGCTCCTTGCAAGCCCAGAACGCCCCTAGGTGAGGGTAATTAGGGTTTAGGGTTTAGGGTAGACACAAGAATGAGAGTCCCGAGACCTCCCCAAGTCTCCCACAGATCGATGCCCAGGTTGCCTCCTCACTGTTGATGATACGTGCGAGGTCAGCGTTCGCCATGGCTGCCCGGGGCAGGGTGTAGCCCTTCCTGGGCTGCTGCTGGGATTCTCAGACATCTCGTTATTTTGATGTGTTGAAGTAGGGTGCCAAGATATTGCGCCCCAATTCCTTTTCCTCAATATAGGCCTCGCGAAAAGCTCCATTTTGGCCCCTCAATTTGGTTGCGGGACATCTTTAAGGTCTCAAAAATGTAGCCTTGCGGGGGTTTTAGAGGTTCGGTTCAGGACCTGCAAGGAAATCTTCGGACACAATTGATTTTGAATTCGACAGGAACATGGACCTGACGGCTGCAAAAGTCAGCCGTGCATCCGATCAGACATGTTGCCCAAATCCACAAAATCTCGGAGTCTTCAAACCTACAAAGGCTGAACGCAAGCTTCACCACCCTGCAACACACTTGGAGGCCAGTGTGTAGATCATTACTCCGGGATACTTCTGTTTGAGATCCTGGCGAAGGCACATATATCTCTGCTGACAACCCTGAGCTCCAAGCCCTGTGAAAACTGACACGGAATTGAATCTCTGGAATATGCCCATGACAACTGTGCTCTTCAAGTGCTGGCTGTCGATCCAGGTGACTTCATGGGTGCGCCACCCTTGAGGGTGCCGTAGATGGCAGAAAGCCTCCACTTGGCGGTGACAGACTGGGTTGCTGTTAGCTTAAGTTGCTATATTGGGGAAACCATGTTAACTACTATATGCATATATATATATATACATACCCATTATGTTTGGTTAGTTTAAGTTCCGTAACAGCAACCCAGCAGAACAACCCTATAACAATTACTGCCCTCTCACAACTATCTAGTAAGCGATGATTAAAACAATCCGTGCTTGGTCATTTAGAAGCTCTTGAATACTAGGCTGGCTTCAAGCTGAAGGTGCTAATTATTACTGTTATTACTACTATGTGACTATTATTACCATCATAGTCCCCTTATTACCATTATTAGGAATATTACTATCATTACTTCGATTTGATTTCGATGTCCTGTACCAGGGTGACCCATGGATTCAGGGTTTATTCTACAATCGACCTGGCAGTTGTTCCTGGAAGCGAGCTCTCTGGCACCTCCGTCAGAAAACACACTTCAGCTTCCTTTGATCATACAGGAATCAGTAAGCTCCAAGGTTGTTCGCCAATCCCCAAGACCTTTGCCTTTAATGACTTAAGTCGAGCAAACCTAAGCACTCTCGAAAAAGTCTCAGGTGTAAGTTCGAAACGCTGTGCCAGCCCACCTACCTGCCTTCCTACGTACCTACCTACATTTGTGTATAATATATGTACATACATCTGAAATAACAAGCCGGCGACAAGCCGTTGGAAAACAAGCTGATGAGCCTAGCTTGAGCAGTAAGCGGTAACGAGAGCGATCCTTCAAACCTTGTGCAGCATTTCCAAACTTCTAGTTTGTTTTATTTCCAGAGTTTAAGGCTTAGGCTTAAGGTTCAGATTGCAGAAAGATGCTTTGCTCCCTATTCTTGGGGCAGCATACTAGAATAAGGATCTGAAATATCGAGAACCCCCTCAAACAAACAAAGCTCACAAACTGCAGAGTTTTGGGCGACCCCTCCACAGCCCTACTTGCATCCACCTGCAATTGTTTTTCTATGTGTTGCTGCAAGCTATACCAAGCATTATAAAGACTATCAAGTATTACAATGCATGGGGCTAGTACAGCTGTGATTGCGACTAGCTAGCTTTTGGTCAGTACTCGCAACACCCATAATTGTATGATTATGTTTGCTTCGAGGCGTGAGGTTAGGTCTGTTGGCTGCCCAGGTTTTGGCCTCTTGAAGGCGCTCTCTGTGAAGATCAGGAAACGGCCGAAAGAGCCACCTGCGGAAGTGTTGTCCTATCACGTTGCGGTTTGGGGGATCTAGGGTTTAAAGCTTAGAGCCGAAGATTTGGGCTTTTTAGATATGCTGACGCTCGAATTTGCAATTTGCGAAGAAGAAGTAGCAGGAGCAGTAGCAAAAGCAGCAGTAGTAGTAGCGCTAGTGCTTGCTACAATCATACTAGCGACAACAACATTTGGCAACCAAGGCTTCTGTATTGAAAAATTACGTTGTAGTTGCTTTAACTCCTGCTCAGAATGTTCTCCCCCAGTCTGCTTGGTGACAGTGGGGTCACTCTAGAAATCAGAACCCCTGCGGGAACAGTTGAATGGCTGGGTTTCAGGTTGCCTCTGTCCGAGGGCATTTCTGACAATGGCAGAATGGCTTTCAGAACATCAATTACAGGCCGATCGTGGCGATGGACAGGCAGACCCCTATCTGGTGCGTGCCAAATTCAGCGCAATGCCTGGGGCCAAACGCAGCAGGTTCAGGCGATCCACCTTAGGGCTGGTAGTTCGGATTACATGGGATGCGCAGACATCCACTTCCGGGCTTTGAAAAAGGCATCGGGACCTTCGAGGATTCCAAGAGGAGGTTAGAAAGGTGCTGGAAGCCAGACAAGGAGATTGCAGGAGTCCTGCACAGGGTGGGTGGCACAGGGTGGATGGGGTCAGAGTTCGCTTTTCATGATCACATCTTTTATCTTTGCGCCAGAAACTAGAAGTCAATTTGCTTTCCTTGATGCAAAGCATTACGGGAGGCTGATGGCAGCCAGGTATGATTGAACTTGCAGTTATCTCCTGATGTTTTGGGTTGGTACCAGCTCCAATGCCTGAACCCTGTCAGAAGGATGTCCAAATTCGTGCGAGCAGCGTGGGCTGTCTCAACACCCGGGATGTTGCGCATGGCGCGGACGATGCCGTTGTCCTCGCGTAGGTCACTCCAGGGTCGATGCTGCTTCAAGGCAGCACGTTCCAACACAGGTCGCGGAAGGTATCCCTTTCGAAGTCCCAACTTCAATCCCCTGGCCACAATTCAGAGCCAAGCCCAAAAGACAGGCCACTGGAGCCCACAAGCATGCTGCAAACTGAGCCAATCAAAAAAATGCAATGGCACCAAGATCCTCAGCCGCCACAAAGAGCTTCAGAGCTATGGCTTGGCTATTGGCAAACCCTTCAAACCTTGCCTACGTCTGACATGTGGCTTTCAGAGAAACGATGCGACCCACAAGCATCAGAGAATCTTCTTCTTGCAGTGCAGAAAGCGATAATGAGAGTCGAGAGGGTCTGGCGTGAGCCTGTTTCTGCTCAAGATACTGAGGCCAGTTTCTGCGGTTCTGACCTATCTTCTCTGGTGTTAGCTGAGTTGGCTGCTGCGCAATACCCAGAAGTCGCCTGACTTCCGAACTCCTCACCCTAAACCTAGACCCTCAACCTACAATCACAATCCCGGGCTCCTCGTTGTAGATGACCAGAGGACCCAATCGGCGCACGTAGCGGCGATTCCTGGCCTTGCCCTTGCCTCAGTCAGATCAGCGTGCACATTTTTGGGCAAGCAGTGTCCCAGAAGCCATCCCCCTCTTCCTTCGGGTTGACATCTTCTGGTACCCAGGACCCAGACCAGAAGCATTGGCATTGCTTGTGCAATGCTGCCCTTTCAGGACGACGGGGCACAAACCGTCTCAAAATCCGGGCGCTCAACAACCACCTACATCCGTGTTGGGCCCTTACTTCAAACAAACGCCTTCCTGGCCATCTCGAGTGGAAAGTTTCTTGCAAGAGCTCAGCTGAAAGCAGAGAGGGGGTATCGTAAAAGAACTATGATCCTTTGACCCTGAATGCCCCGGATGTTGTAATTTCCCGGTTTCATGAGGTATGAAAGATGAGCTCAGAATTGTATCTTGACATCTTGACAGGGCCTCGAAAACGATCCCCTAATTACCTCGATTAAAACACCATCCGACATCTCCTGTAGCCAGGGCATGCTTAGAACTTAGTGAAGTTGAGTGTGCAGTTGCTACTGTCTTCTCCCCCTCAAGATCCTACTTCCCAGTGCTCGTCATTACAGTCTCAACTCAACCACAAAGACACATGGCTCCAAGAGCAATGCCGCCCAGAGGCCGGCCCGGATCTTCTTGGAGTCCATGGCCTACAAGCGCTAAAGGGCAGGAAAGTCAGCTCAAATTTGCGAAAAAGCCGGGAAGGCCTGAGCTACGCAGAATCTTTGTGGATGCAGAAGAGAATTTTACCATACTTTGGGTCGAGAGTACATCAACTCGGGTCGGCGCCTCATTGAATAGGGCGTCGCAGGATCGTTCCGTTATCATACTCCAGCCATGAAAACCTAAATCGACAACTGCAGATCTCACGTCGCACTATGCACGCCCGAAGCATCAGAAGAAGACGCCACAAAGCCCGATCATCAATCCAAAGTTGCATGCAAGATTGCGATTCAGGAAATCGAAGTAAATCTTCTTCTAGTAAGTCAGAACCAACACGTTAATACTAGGCACAACAGGGGTAACAATTAAACAGGAAAGTGCCAAAACTAACAGACCTCGCAAGAATGCCTGCGCCATAATACAGCATGCTGGTTGCAGCCACAACCAACTTTCCGATCAAAGATAAGAGAGTTGATCCGTATTAGCTTACAACTCAAGACTCCATCGCAACGCTTCAGGCAAGGTTGAAGCCACACAGCCCTCACTGTCTTCTATCATAAGTCTGACTCGCTTTCCCGGTGCTACTTGAAAAGAATTTCCTTGTACAATAAACCCTCAACCCCAAACATCTCCAAACTAGACCCTACAGCCCTCAGGCTGCGGAACCTTCTGGAGCTCCTCGCCGCAGCCGAGCTTCTTCAGGGACTCGATGGCCTTTGGAACAGCTTCTGCGGAAGAAGTTCAGGTGTTAAGGGCTAGACAAGGAACTGCACTTCGGAAAACCGAACCTTTCTCCCTGTTGGGTGCGTCTTGAGGAACATAATTACACGTTTCGGCATTGAAATCCTCTACCTACACTCAGGCTCTACATCGGGAGATCATCCTGATCAAGCTTCAAGACCTTCAACCCAGAATTGACCCGTGAGCTTTGCGTTGGATTCCTTAAGTCCCGATGCCCGAATCTCAAGCTGTGGGCCGTGGTCTCTAAGCCCTTCAGCTCAACCCAACCTCAGGGGTTTGATTGCGCCTCCTTGGTCTTGCTCACAGACTGCAGACCTAAGAGGGCGCAAAAAATGTCACACATGTTCTCTTCCACATCGTTTAAGGGAACTGCACTTCTCTCCTCATGCCCATGCTTATAGTAGATGCTGGACAGTGCGGCCCTGGCCGCTTCAACTGCCCGGAGAGGGACAAAGACACGAAACACCTGGTCTCCAAACATCTGACCGCTGTCTCATATTAGCTATAATCTGAACTCCTTAAAGGGGGCTATATAGGGGATTATATACAGGACTATGATAAAGGGTATTAAGAGGGATACTAGGGGTTTAGACTATAGCTCATATCCCACGGCCTGACTACCTGGAATTCAACAAGCCATGGGTGTGCTCTGCAGCTGCAACCCCCAGAGGTAGGCTGGCAAGCTGAAAAATCTGACAAGACCCCCACCACAAAATCTCAGCCGCAAAAAGTCTCAGTTCCAAATGTCCGCGAAGCTGTACCCCAAACCCTAAACCCTGTACCATTGCCATTCCTCGAAGTTATAAAACGCCTGCAAGAAGACAAGAACACTCCTTAGCCACAAACGTTGCAGATCCCGAATGATGACGCCAATCCCTTATTTGTTGAAATACGCGCGTCTAGGGCTGTAGATTACTGTAGATCTCAGTGCTATGGCTATCATTCTTGCGACCATTGCTTGGCTACGTGTAATGCTTTGTGAAATGCATCCCCGCGTGGTGCTAGAATCCTCTTCCACAGGTTGGAAGAATGAATAGGCAAACCTGTTCCGAGACAAGGCGCCATCGGTCACCACGAGGGGCAGCTCGGCAACCTGTCCGATCTTGTGGCCACGAGCCATGACCTCGGTTTCATCAGCTCTGCGGCTCGGGGGAATCAAGTCTTAGGTTCAGGGGTTTGGGGGTTTCTTGGCCGAATTACTAATCAAGGAGTAGGGCTTTAGCTTGAGGGCTTCGATCTCTGAGCCTTGGCAACTTGTTTGTAATGTTTCAGGCAGTTTGAGGTCAGTCCTCCCTCCTCTGTGATTATCACCCAAATGGCTGTTGATTCTGGTGACTCGCAGCGTGACAATTCATGTCATGTATTTTTGTCCGCGGGAGGTCTTCCTCAATTGGCAACCCACCTGAAGTCTTTCCCCTGAAGGGGTGATCAAGATGGACGAGGAAAGCCTTCGGGCTCACTTATGGCCTTCCTTCCGACTCGTGGCGGAAGCTGTAAGCCCCAATGTGGATGCGGAGCAGCAGCCGCAAGACCCTAAGTTCCTACCAATTCTGACGACTATTCTGTTCGACCCTCCCGCCAAGGTCATACCCAGAAAACACCTCCTTGACATGCCCTGGATTACCCCATAAAACCGCCATGAAGATCAAAGACTGTATTTGTGGCTGTCTAAAATGTGGTCTGTTCTTGGGCCCCGCATGTCCCTACATTTCACACATGTACAATGGCCGCTGATGCCTTCAGGAATCCTTCATTATGCACTCCCCAACACCGTGATTCAAAACCTTTTCCATATGAGCTATAGTCTAAACTCCTGGTATGCCCCTTAATAAGGCCTCTAGTACTCCCATATATGACCCATTGTATAACACCCTTTAAGGAGTTTAGGCTACGGATCACATGGGCATATTGCAAACTGAGCCCCCGTCCAGGACCGCAAAATTCCCGGCTGCCTATCATACGGACCTTCATTCTTAATTTGAAATGACCGCAAGAGACTCCAATCATGAAGGTTTGGCTACTTTGGAAACCCTCAAAAAGAGAGTCACTCATGTCTGGACCAGTACTTCCACAGGAACCCCAATCCAGACTGGACGCCTGCACGAAACCAAGTTCAGCAGGAAGTCCATCTTCAGAAGTATTTGTTTAATATTGGGTGGGCACATGTATACTCAGGCAAGCGTCACTACGCACGGGATCTGACTTCACGGAAATACCCATCACACGGGATAGGATTTATACCCATATACGATCTTTTCAAACGGGCACCCCAACTGTACACACACCAGTATTCCACAGGAGCCCTGCGCACGCACCCCAAAGCAAGGATAACAATGGTAATAGTCGTAAGAACAATAAGAACCGAAACAGCATATTTACCACGGTCGCAATATAAAAAGGTAAAAGCACTAGTACCATCAAGCAGGATAGGATTCCCTACAACAACCCCAGTAAGAAAGTAATACTCTTTAAACCCTAAACCCTAAACCCAAAACCCTAAACCCTAAACCCAAACACCTGCCTCGAAATGTAACTGCCAAGCTACCAGAGGGGGCAGGCTGGAAGCTGCCAGGGCGACAGCCACGGCGTGGCGCTTCTTGGTCACATTCACCTTAAGGCCGCAGTGGGTCGTTCAAACTGAGGTTGAGGGGTTGAGGGGTTTAGGGTTTGGGGTTATTCACCTTAAGGCCATGGCATTCACCTTGTTTTCAGGGCTGGTTATTTAGCTTGAGGCCACGGTCGTTCAAATTAAGGCTAAAGTGGTTAAGGAACTATACTACTTATACATATAGATATATGTATATATGTCTATGTATAATGAGGTCATTGTGACTTCACTTCTAAGGTTTGGAGTTCGGGGCTTGACGATTAGGATCCCAGAAGTTAAGGTAGCAGGGTCATATGAACCATAATCTAAACTCCTAGTATCCCCCGCAGTAACGCTGAAAATACTCCCTATAGAATCCGCTATATAACCCCCTTTAAGGAGTTTAGACTGTAGGTCAGGTGCAACACTCTTCACCACTTATACCTACCAACCTGGACATGCACGGGGGTCTCTACTAAGAGGGGCCCGTGGGGAACCCACTGTACTGTAATCCTTGTTACCGGTCCTCCCAAAGGTGACCCTCATTTTTTTGGAAGAGGGGGAGCTGAGACACATCTTGATTCTAGCAGTTTCTCAGGACCCATAAGTAGGTTTGGATGTTTGGAGGTAAGGGAGAGGGGGGGGTTTTGAGTTCCAGGCTAGGGTTTTTCAGTTTAGGTCCGGGTTCATTGGCGCGGCCCCTAAATCGACTAGGGGCTTATTGGTCTAAGCCAATTCACATGCTACGGGCAGGATCTTACCCTGATGACTTACCTGACCTCCTCAGTTATGAAGTCTGAACTCGAAGCCGTTTGAACCCTGAGCCCCAACAACCTGACCCTAAGACCTACCCCTGGCCCTGAACTCCTGGCCCTACACCCGCACCGAAGGCCCTGAACCCCAAACACCATTCTCTATCCAGCAGAAGTTGCCCTGCGGTGCCAGCGGCGCCAGATGCGGGTGGGGTTGAACATGCCTCCGCCTCGCGCCTGTGGGATGGTGGAGTTCGTGTCAAGGTTAGGGAGGGGTTTGGGGTATGGATTGCCACTCACATGTTTAGCTTTACAGCTGGTCTGGTGCTTCCTGTGCGGAATTCTTCTCACAAATGTGAGCTTCTCAAAGGTTCAGCGCTTAGACGTTCGTAGTATGACTCTGTTTATCCTTCCTGCTACAGTTACAGCTCTGAAGCATTAAGCTCGTTGAGACCCTCCAACCCTTGTTGGGGGGTGTTTTATGTAGGTTGGGGGAGCTTCTAGGCCTGAGGGCATTCAAGCTAGTATTCCTCAAATAAGAACCCCTCTCATACCGCCTCATTAGCGCTACATTACAGACAGGGCCTCATTATTCTAAGCTCTCCAATTCTGGATTTGGAATCTGCAAGACAAAGCCCGGATGGGGTTGAGCTGCGCGAGTTCGTTCCTAGTTGAACCCAAAGCCTTCTGGGCCAGACCCTCAAAACCTTCCCCCTACGTCAATCAACCTCATAAGTGAACCTACAAGCCCTGATGCGATGCTGGAGGCGCCTGGTTGCCAAATGCGGCCTGTCCAGCACGATGGGTGCCGCCACCCGGAGCACGGGGAATACCTCGGATCTGCCGGGGTTCTATGAGTTTCCTGGGGGATTTGTTGGGGAGAGGTGCTGCAAAATCGGTGAAGCTAGGTGGGTTTCTCTCTGGAAAAGGAAAATCCAGGCGCGGCTTACTAAGATTAGGCAGTTGTGAGGTTGCAGGCTGCGGGGAGGTACATAGCACATAAGGCTTAGGGATCAGGGATGGATCTATTCTTCGCAATAGGTTCAGGTTGCAGTGCTGCGATGAGTCTGGCGTGGAGGGACCAATGTGGGGGCGGGAAGTTCCTCGGAGAAACGTTGCTAGCATCTGGGGCTTTCCCAAAATTAGGGGGTTACCTTTCAGAGGGTCCCCATAATCAGGGTAGTATTTTGGAACCTATATTGGGGTCCCCTATTTTGGGAAACTACCATCCTTGGCACAAGCAACTTTCAATGTGTAGCAGCCGCAATGGGCGGGAGGGCTGCAGCAGAAGTGCAGCAGGCGCCATTCCCTGGAAGCGGCCCTCGGGCTGCTTACAGCGGATGGCGCAGCATGTTCCAAGTTTCCTGATGATGCCGGTGCTGCACAACACCATGGCTGACCATGCGGGCAATTTTGGCCCCACGGTGCTAAACAAATTGCGCAATCCGGGGCAACAGGCTGATGTGTTTCACTACGTCCACCACTACCTGAAGGGAGGACTATAGGATGATTGCGACAGGGGCATGCAGTACTTCGCTGGCAGGAAGTACGATGAGTTGCTGACGGTGCAAAGTCAAGACATCGCCAGTCTGCAACCCACATTCTCTTATGGCTTTGTTTTGTCCAGCGCAGTTCCGCAGGAGTTTATCAATCTACCCTTGCCAACTGACAGAGCGCTCGCGCATGTTGCTCGACCTCCTCGACCTCAACATCAAGACCGGCTTCAATGGAAACCGTCCTGCCGCTCAGCAGGCTGACATGGAGCTTCACGAACATGACATGAGTCGGAGGGCCAGCATGGTGGTTGGCACCAAGCAACCCTAAGCACTAAACCTTAAACCCTAAACCCTATGTATCCCTATGCCCTAAACCCTAAGCCCTAGGCCCTGAGCCCTAAACCTCAGCAGTGAGATCAGGATGTTGGGTAACGAGCCACGTTCTGCAAGGGAGGGGCTGTGCAGAGTCTTCAGCTCAGAGCTTTACAGCAGTCACGCTGGCCCTCATCTTAGTGGAGCATACGAGCTATAGTCTAAACTCCTTAGAGGGGAATATCAGGGATTATATGGGGGATACTAGGAGTTCAGACTATGGCTCATATAAGACTTGCATTCGAACTTCCAGGGATATCTGGTGTTGTCAGAAGTTAGGGCTCTCTTCTTCTGTGACAGCACGGATATTGAATGGGGTGAACAGTTCACACATAGACAAAATGGTATCCCAAGCTGGTGGAATCCCAAAACCCTGTAAAGGTTTATAGAACCCTCCATAGCCCCACATATCCCAATATCTACCTAAAAAGCTCTATACGTCCCTGTGAAATCCTTCAAACCACAGATGATCATATCAAGCCACGCGCAACGGCTCGGCCGGTGCACCAAGATTCGGCGGCGGTGTCGTAGCCGGCCTAGCAGAAAACGTCAATCGCTTTGGGACCCTACCTGAAGGTTCATGAAGAGGTAGTAGTGAGATTATGCGGTCATATAGAGATCATATAAGGGTCTTTCGGGACATATGGGTTTCGAAGTAGGATAAAAATGTCATAAGTTTAACTTATGACTAGGAAACTTATACATTGGGAATCGCTATCAGTGTTCTCCTTAAGCCTTCAAAAGACTCAAGAGTTACCACGATTAAAACCCCTAAGCCTGAGACAAACGCTCCCGAACCCTGGACTCCGATCCCTTTAAACAAAACAGCATTAGAGCCGTCCGACTATGTTGGGAAAAACGTCAGAAGTTAATTCCACACCCCAGACGCGCCATTTGCGCTTGTGACCTAGGACCCTGCACAGATCTTGGAAATAAAGGCCCGAACCCGAGAGGCAAATCCTAGAATCCTACAATCGAACCTTGGCGCTGATAGCGTAGGCTTGACGCTTGTTCTTTGCCATGTCGCGGTGGACCTGTGGCATTCTTGGACTTCCTGGAACATGGATGAAGGTTCAGCTGGTCTTTGGCAGTTCCCCTACATAGGTGGACCCCAACATGGGCCCAAAAGATACCACAAATCTTTTTATGGGGACCTCAAAACGGTACCCCTAATTTTGGCAAACCCTCAGCCCTAAACCGTAAACTCTACACCCTATTTATCCCCTATAGCACCCCTATACCCCCTTGAAAGGATACCCCTAACTTTGGGAAACCCTCAAGTTGGGATAAGGGTCTAAGGCATAGTCTGAGGGCTTGCGCCTTGGTGTTTAAGGGGTTTCGGGATAGGGTTTAGGGTTTAGGGTCCTAAACCCTAAAAAGCCTAAACCCTAAACCCTAAACCCCTAAACCCCTAAACCGCGTAAAGTCAAAGCTTCGAGATGCATGAAGAACCAGGGCTGGGGTTGGGTCAATCCCCACCCAGTGATGGTATATTTAAAAACCCTATTAATGGGAGCTATGTCTGTAGGGAGATTGACCTAATCCCAGACCCCCAAAAGGATCTGAAAAAGTAGATCCCCTAGAACCATAGGGGAAATTATATCAGGATTATTTAGGGGTTATAATGGGTCTTTATAGGGGATCTATTTTTTAGATCCTCCCGGGGGTCTGGGATGTTGGGAATAGTAGATGCAAAAGGTCCCTACAGAGGCTGCCTCTGCTCAAGCTCCCCCGAGCCCTAAACCCTAAACCCTCAAGCCCATATAAACTTACCATTGCTTAAGGGTCTCATATCTCCTTAATCCCCAAAATTTCCAACTATTTCAAAACCAAATGACCCCCCCAAACCCTAAGTAATGGTAATAAAACCTACACCCAATATTCAAGTACGTACCAGGTTCCCTTTAGCACCCAGCTGGAAGGATGCAGGATTTAGGGTTTAGAGCCTCCAGCCTCGACAGGCTCTCAGTTGCTCATGCAATCGTTTACCTGAATTTTGTCGTCCCTCCGCTTGACGATGACAATGAACCCGAACTCTCAGACCAGTACAGACTCCCAGGCAATCGTATCCAGTCAAAACTCCTCAATTTTTGTTTAAAGTCCAAACTACAAGCCTACCATCTTACATCGTATGCCTGTTTCGAAGGTCTACATGTCGAAGGTAACGTTCCCATGTAGACCCCTAACATGCTGTCCTCTTGAACAGGTTCAGATGCTTGTTGGAAACTCCTGGCTGTTAGCATGACTCGCGCTGGCCTCGCGCACCAGGTCAGGTCGCAAAGGAGACTTCCTCAGTCCACTTTGGATTTTGCACTGGGTTAAGGGTTTGAGGGTTGAGGTTTGGGATCTTAGGGGAGGGCTCTGGGTGCTCAAGAAGTGAGGGCTTGAGATGTAATCGTCGAGGGAATCAAGTTTGTGCATTTGAGTGACATGTTCGGGAAGAAGGTTGTGGAGAAACTGGTGACGAACAGTAACAGTAGTCTATGCATGAGCACACTGGCAGTGAGCAGTCACGCAGGATTACTTGCCGTATCTTCGCACACCTTTGTTGCATCTTGCCTGCAAATTCATGACTTTGAACTTTCAACCCACAGCCCTAACTCCCAAACAACCACCTTGCTGCTCTGACAAATACTCCGTCCAATCAAGGAACCCTGACAGGCAGCGGGAAAAATAGCAGAGACATTATGAAATACCTCATGAAGCTCTCACATATCATCACAAAGTCTAGCGGTTTCATCCCAAACTGAACTAGCACGTAACCACGCTTCCTTAAGGCTTCTTTTAAATGCCATGGGAAGTATGGTCAATGCAGATGCCACACCAGTTCATTGAACAATGCGCGACATGACATCTCACCATATGTATGCACGTCTCTGTGGTACTTGCAAAGGAGCAGGCTATGGTCGCCCTTACGTAGATAGAATATGGAATATATAGGGATCTTATTATAATATTGTACAGTTGCATATTCCATCTACTTGAGGGGACTATAACCCTAAACCCTAAACCCTAAACCCTAAATCCCACATTCTATCTACTTAAGCGGGTCTATAACCATTTCCACGGAAAGCGTGAACCTACAGTTTCTGAACTCACAAGTTCTCCAGCAACAAGCGGCAGCACGTGGGGCATCACGACAGTGCCCGCCTTGAGGAAATGAATTAGGTAGTTTATCGGGTCTAGGGTTTAGGGACTTCTGTAGCTGTCAGAAAGTGTGGCTTCTCGCATTTTACAACAAAATCCCGGCAAGGAACAAGCTTCCAGAGCTCAGGCTGTTTTGCAGTCAGGGTTTCACGCGCCTCCACTCTTGGAAGCTTCATAAACAAAACCTGGAACCAGACAGTATGATCTTCTCTCCAGTTCTACAACAACTCTAAAATCATAATTAACAGGCTCGCGCCTTCTCGGAAGGGTTCTCGAACTTGAAGATAGACACGACAGGCCTTCATTGTACAAAGCTGGGCTTGGCGGTTGCATGATGTGCAGCTACAGGTTATGCATGTACGTATATACAACTGCACGCAGACCCAGAGAGAGAGAGAGAGAGAGGTGGCGAGAGGGAGGGAGAGGGAGGGAGAAAGCACGAAGGAGAAAGAGAGGGACGAACACGGAATCTTACGAACACGTTGGAGATCAAATGAGACACCGTACCAAAAAATGAAAGCTGAACAGCTCCAAGGCTTGGGGGTCTTTTACCTTGAACAGAGAATCTGGTCCATGAGTCCTGGCTTGTTTGGATGCATCAGGGTTTAGGGATATTGGGGTTATACTGGGGTTATATTGGGATGCGGGAAAATAAAATGGAAACTACTATTTAGGATTTATGATTTAGGGTTTAGGGTACTTCTGGGGCAAGAAGAGAAACACAAATCGCAAAGAGAACAAGGAGGTCATTTAGGAGAATGCACGGCTCCCAGCGAGCAGGCCTTGCAGTTGCCATGACCTGAGTCACTTGCGCAGATGATTTTCATGCCTTCCATAGGCTCCTATAGTTTGGGGTTTAGGTTTCAGGGCATGGGGGCACCTTGTGTGTGCCTAAGGAGAATGCCTGCGATCAACACTCATCATCCACACCTAAGCGACCCTGAAGGGCTAAAATCGCCACTGGATTGCAAACAAGAGGTGCTTCCGTGATCACCTGGTGCGACAGCTCGACTTCAAACTGTCCCTGCATGATCTAGTCCTGCAATCACTTCTAAGACTTCTCTGCTGTGGCTTCATTGTTGCTTGTAGAACTTTCTTCAGCTGCACCTTTGAGGTTTGTATTCCACTATGGGCTATTAGACCCTAAAATTCCCTATTAGGACCCTATTAAGGGTAGACTAAGGTACCCTTAAGGTCTAATAGCCCATAGTGGTTACCTAGAATTGAACACCTGACTAGACCATGAAGCTCCTGCTTTCCACATAATCCCTGCGCAAAGCTTGCACAGGATCTCGGAATATTCTTAATGTAGTGCCACTGCGATGACTGCAGTCTTTTCAGCCAACTCAAAAATGTTGATGCGGAAAGCTCTTGACGGCCGCTCTACCTAGGCCGGGGAGGGGCAAAACACCCTCTCCGATCGTGTCTAATGCCGGTCAAACAAGGGAGTAGAACCGTGCTCTTAATTTTGACTTTGCTCTTCCAACGTGAAACAACGCTGAAGCCAAATACTGCCTTCAACAATCATCCCCGCATCGCACTTATGGAAACCTTGCGTGTAAAGGCTTCCTGCTCGCGCGGCATGCCATACAGAACCATACAGTACCACAGGGCACATGCCATATTGGATGCCAGCAGTTTGTGGCGTCGATCGATTTTCAACAAACTGTAGACTCCCACAATGCAACCATTCAACATCTAACACAGTACTGCTCCCACCCCTATGCAAGCACCGAACAAGCTCAGGGCCGCGCTGAGTATCGACCAAAGGGGGTGCTTGCAGAGTACTCGAAATGCCGGGACTTACCCTTCGAGGGGGTTAGAGCCAAAGCAGCGGTCACAGAAGTGTTTCAGAACAATGCCAGCAAGAACCACGGAAGATAGCAGCGTCTGAACTAGTGACGGAAATCAGCTCAAATCAACCATGCGAAGTCCAAAACTTGCCAAAACCGCCAAAGACGAACTCTGCTAGCTTCATCGGAATAAAACAGAATAATAATAGTACTCATAAAGGGAATAATAATAGTAGTAATAATAAGATAACAGTAATAATACAGAAAGCCATGACTAGTGGATTCCACCCAAACAGTGCAGGCACCAACCTGGAAACCCGGAAAATCGGCTCGAGGCCAAAATTGCCACCAACTTTACTACTATAGTATATTGGGGTTATAATATGGGATAATGGGAAATAAAATGGAAACTACTATAGTATATTGGGTTCATAATATGAGCCATAGTCTAAACTCCTAGTATCCCTCTTAATATCCCCTATAGTGGTCCCCTATATAATCCCCTATATAACCTCCTTTAAGGAGTTTAGACTGTGGCTCATATGGGACAAAGTGATCCCGGCTCGGGCTTCCATTAGTCATCTCAACATGTACGCCTACTCGAATTCGAATACCTGCCTGGAAACTGACGTGGTTTAGAATGCTTGAAATGCGCATGGATGCTGCTAACAGCAATGCTTGTCAGAAATCTTATCCGTACGTTGAGCGTTACTAAGAAGAAGAAGAAGCCATGATTCTAAGCCGTGCAATGGCCAACGAAAGTACTGACGTAGCCGACATCAACTGCAAATGTAAGCGCACCATCGCACAAGGCTACCTTCTCAATGCAGCTTCAACATCCCGAAGTTCAGTTGCCTAGCAAGCCCTTGACCCGACAAGCCGGAGAGGCAAATGACACCCTGAGCACAAACACCCCTTACTTCGCAACACAAGTGGGCTCCCCGCGGGCATGGTCACCCATGTGTGCCGGCTGACTGCAAGATCAGCTGTGCAGTCAATGGGCAGTGCCACTACCTGTAGGATTTGATGTGTAGATTTGCGCATTTTGGAACGCTGGGTGGAGTAATGGGAACTCAAGATAAGATGATGCCCTTTGTACAGCCAGGAACGATGTATCAAATCGTACAAAGTTGACCCATGACTTCAAGAGGGAGAGCCCTAGTCTAGACTCCTCAAATCCCAGGAGTTGGAGAAGCCTTGGGGGCTCCAGCTTTGAGCGCTGGCAAGCTGCGGACTCCAGCTTCCCCTCCGTTGTGTTTTATGGTTTCCCAGAATTAGGGGTACCAACTATAATGGAGAATCAAATGGAAAAAATTGAGAATGATATGGAAAGTGGGATTATATGAAAGATTATAGGATTTAGGGTTGAGGGATATCATCGAGCTGTGTGAAGGTTGCTGGTCTAGCAAAATGGGAGGCTTCCTGCTCGCACTTGCAAGAAAACAGGGGAGGAAGGCCGTTACAGAAGCTGAGAACGGGATCTTCAGGCATTGCCTGCTCCCGAAAGCTTCACCCTCATCTTCAAATAATACCTACATTGGGCTCTAAACTCTAAGGGATTTGGAAC